GCCAGGGGCAGCCATCGCAGCCCTCGGCACCGGGAGCTGCCGCCCCCCTGGCCTCTGCCTCCAGAGGGACAGCTCTCTGAGCGTCTGCAATCATGGCTGTCAGACCTGCCAGTCATGCACATGCAGACGTCAACGAGTAAAGGAAAAACTGAAGGGACTTCTCGACACACGTCCTGTCGGTTGAGCCTGTTCCTTCAGAGAAAAACAAATGCACGGTGTGTGTGTGTGCACACGTGTGAGTGTGTGCGCATTCGAGTGTGCGTGTGTGTGAACGTGTGTAAGCGCGTGTGTGCGTGTGCACGTGCAGTATCTGAAGTATCTGTGGCGAGTACATGATATATTTGAGTCACATGGGGGTTACAAAGGATCCTGTTGAAAAAACGGAATCGTGACCACAGGACACACACCGCTGTGTTTTCGCCAGGCTTTCTGGAATCCTCCACCGCTCCATGCCTCTCTGTCAGCACCCCTACTGCTCCCACATGCCCCCCACCCCCCAGTGTGTGTGTGCACATGCACCTCCTTTCATCAAGACTCCGCTGTGGAACACAGGGCACCCAGAACACGTCTGAGGAGGGAAGGAGAGAGGGGTGGGCTTGGAGGATGTGGGGTCTGGGAGGAGGGGGGGATGCCGCCAAGAGCCCCGGCCGAGGGGCCGCACAGGGGGCTGGGCCAGCACAGCTGGCGGAGGGGGACGTTCCTCCTAGCCCCCCAATCCAGTGGGTCTCCTCATGGGACTCTCCCCGCCCCAGTTCCCACCATTTCACAGCCAATACTTCTCTGCCCATCACAGTTCCCTCTCTTCCGAATTCTACAACAGCCTGTTGACATGTTTGGAAATAAAGAGCCGAAAGACAATACAAATCATACAACCGGAAACAACCGGAGGGCAGCTTAGCACCCGAGCGAAAGCTTGGAATCACACCGTGCGAACGATGCTGTTTGTTTTGCGCCCCCCGCCCCCGCCCCCAGGAACATGACCAGAGGTGAACTGACAACCTTGCTGACTGTTTCTCAGAGCCTGGCCTGTCTGGCGGACACACTGGCCTTTTGCAAATCTCAGGAGCATCACTAACATCCACAGCAGCCTCTGTGCACAACCTTGTCCCCCTTCCCGGCGATGGGCTTCGGATCCCTCGAAGTAGAATGCCAGGCCAAAGGTCACCGGTGTGTTTTTCCAGCGTCCAGACACACACTGTGCCATCTTCCCAGCTCACCGCGCCCCCCGCCCCCGCCCGAGTCAACAGCCATTTCCTAGTATCCGAGGTGGAGGCTCTTCCCGGGACTCCTCCTCTTGCCTCATCCGGGCTCTCACCGCGGGTCTCACGTGCCCGGGGGGAGGTGGGTACTTCTCCGCTGCGGGGGGTGAAACGGGGCCCTGACCCACAGGGACAGCTGGGAGGGGCTCTCTCTAATGTGAAGCCCCAAGCAGGACCTACCCGGGGAGGGAGCACCCCCAAACGCTCCCTGACTCCCCAGGGAGAGCTCGCAGCGTGGCAGGAACCCAGTGGGGTCATATTTGCAGCGAACACGTTCCCACCGTGTTTGTCTTTAGATCTCATTGTCTGTTTGTTCCCGCCGTGTTTGCCTTTAGATTTCTGGTTGGTTCTCAGAAGCGGAGGGCCATGGGGTCGCCGTCCTGAACTCTTCCCTGCGGGTCACCTTCCGAAGCTTGAAGCTTGGCCACTGCCTTCACCCTCCATCCAGGTGACGAAGCAGCATCCATCTTGTTCCGATTTCTTGTCCGAATTCTGGATTGCGCTCGCGCCCACGCTGGCAGGCAGGACGAGAGGACTGCCCCCCGCCCACCCGGTTGACCGGCTCTCCCAGGCCTGTTCACAGCGGGTCTTCCCTTCTGCCTGGTCTGGTGGCCACTCTCGCGCAGGGAAGACCCCTTGGGGGTACGGGGTCTGTTTCTGCTCCCCTCCCCGTCAGCTCCCAGGATCTGCTGGCTGGCCAGCACCTCACGCCTCCCGGAACTCCCAGCCTGCTTATCGTCGCAGGCATGACCTCCTCGCTCGTTTCCTCCGAGTAAACCCTGGGATCGTTTCTTCCAAGTTTGCTTGAACGAAGAGAACTTCTCACCCGAAGACCCACGTGTGAGGAAGGAGTCACGCCCGCCCATGACTCATACAGAGGCCGGTACTTGCGTCTCTGCTCACAACCAGGTCATGAGGACATGAGCGCACCCACCACGAGGCTGTCCCCCCCGAGGACC